AACAGAAATGGGGCGAGGGGAGGAGGGATGAAAGCAGGAGAGTGGAAGGAGACAGACTCTTCGCTTTTATCTGTCTGCTCTTTAAGAGGAAGGAGACACTGGGCAGGCTCCATTCCAGGGTTGGCGTGAGCAAGCACCTCTGCGGTCCCACGCCCCCGGCCAGGGTTCGACAGCCATAGCCAGGGCTGCTGACCCAGCTATCTTTCTACCGACCAGGCCTTTCTGCACACAAGAGGAACAGGGCCTTGGGGTTCTCAGGACCCCTTCTACCCCCACCCTGCACGCCAGACACCCTGCCTTCCAAAGTGCTTCTCCGAGAGCCCCACACCACGATCCTCCTCATATCATCGTAGGACTAGCTCCGGGCCGTGACTCTCCCTCTCCCTTCCTGTATGATGTCAGAGGCAGTCCAAGGGCTCACCCCCCACACTGCCAGCATGGGGCTTGCCTAGAGCAGCACTTGAGATTGAGGCAAAAGGTTCTCAGCACTGGAGCGAAGGGTAGGAGAAACCTCCCGGCCCCTGCTTGGCCCAGGTGAGTCACAGCCGGAGTCCCTGTACGACACAGTATGACCAGGGATGTGGGAAAACAGCCCCTGGCGCAGACAGTACATGATCTGGAGACTACTAGTGGGAAGGGGGGAAGGCTCCATCCTTGGGAAATGCTGCAGACAAACATGGCAATGAAGCTGATGGAGAGGGGTGTAATACAAAGAGGACGGTCTGGCTAGCTCCATGGGGGGCAGGTATACTAGGTGGGGGAAGGCAATGCCTTCCCAGATAGCTAGGCATGGCCCCGCCCACACTCCACCCCCAGAACATCTACAGCTTCAGAGCTCTGGGCAGAAGCAGCAGGCCTTCTGGGGGTGGAGCGTGGCTCCCCCTGGGCTAGGTGCTACCCGCCTTCCCCATGCTCCAGGACCAGAGAGGCTTGGGCTACATGCCAGTTGTGTGGGAGACCTGGGGGGGAGTTTCTGGCTTGCACTGTGGTGGGGGGGTGGGGTTAGGGTTAGGCTTGTCTCCCCCAGCCCTACAGTTACCCACAACCCATGGCAACCTCCCCACTTGCAGGATTACCAAAGCGGTTTCTTTAACCTGGAGCAGGAAGCCAAGTAGGAGCATGGGGTAGGGGGCTGCTGGAGAAGGCTTTGCAGAGGCAGACTGAAGGGAAGCAGAGGCAGACTGAACAGGGTGAAGCGCGAATCTTTTTTCCTAGTCTGTTAGGAGTTCCTTGTGCAGCGCAGGAAGAAAGTGACTCTTGACCCCTGCCACACACCGCTGCCTAGAGATTAGATAGCCTGATTGTCCTTATTGAGCTTAGACTTCTCCCAACCGAGATCAGGTCACCGCTGTGCGAGGCGCTGTGCAGACCCCACAGAGCTGACTCTGGTAGACAAAAGTCAGGACAGGAGGGGAAACTGAGGCACTGAGCAAAGAAGTGACTCGCCCAACATCACAGCAGTTCAGAGAAAGAGCCAGGAACAAAATCCAGACCTCCATACACCACTACCCACTAGTCAACACAGTTCTTCCCCTGCTCTCTGCTCTCCATTCTGGCATTCATGTCTATCCTCAGGAGATCATGATGGAGGGAGGTGGCGGATTGGTCACAATTCTCCAGAAGTTGTAGACTTACCAGGAACTCAGTTATTGGAGCGGTGTTGGACTAATATCCGTCTACCTCATCCCCCCTCCCTTCACCCGAGGATTGCTCCCAGGGCTTGCGGGAACAGAAAAGAGCTGGCCGCAAGGCCCTCTTTCCTGTTTCTATGCTGGGGCTGCCAGGCCTGTTCTGCAGGAAACAGCTTGATTTACGGCGCTGTTACTTATGACCCCAACATATGTGTGGTGGGGGGGCCCGGGTTGTTTCCCAAGCCTCGGGGATGGCTCTCAGAAGACCGGATGCAGCAGGAAGGGCTTTTATGGACAGTTGTGCAACACCTCTCGGGGCTTGGGCCGAAGCCAAATGCAGAGAGCATTCAACTGTGCAAGAAGGACATCGCGCCCATGGGACGCCTCACGCTTGCAGAGCCAACGTGAGCGGCACGTCTAACTCAGAGACCCTTTATTTGCTGGACATTGCCCAGCAATCAGTGCGGGGAGGAACGGGCAGCCAGCAGGCTCCGTTTGCACCCAGACGCTTCACAAAGATGGGAAGAACTGGACGTCAGCAAGAGCTGGGGGAACAGGGCTCTGGTGTTGGAGAACATGCAACCCACTGCCCTGCAAATGGGCTGAGTCAGGTGGGCAAGACAGGGACAGCTTGGAGGCAGGCCTTCCAGGACAAAGGAGCCTGGGGTAACTCACACATATGCTGGGTGTGGGCCACGGTCCCGTCTAGTGGCATCAAGATAACTCAGCGAGAATAAGTCTGTGCTACAGCCTTAGCCGAAAACTAGCTGGTTTTTAGCTCATGCACGAAGTTCCAGAGGTCCTAGGTTCGATTCTGCCTGTTGGCTTTATGCGAGCACCTGCAGAGGTGAGATCAGGTGAAGATCCTAGGACCAGCCAGCTGGAAAGTCTGGTAGGGAAGGTAACCAGTAGGGAGTAATGATAGAGGCATGAAATAAGGGCAGCCTGCGGGCTCTGAGGTGGTTTGAGTTGACACTGAATTGCTTGGTCAATAAACAAATCTCTGGAGAAGAGGCGTGGTTTTCTGCACAGGTGGGAGTCGGATTTGGCGTACACCCCAGTAAGCTGCTGGACCTGGGGATCTGAGCCAAAGAGCCAAGTCAGAGCGAAAGATACTTGGGAAACACCTAATCAGAGGGGTGAATTAGACATGCTCCATGAGCTTAATACATGCTATTAGTAACACTAATGATACATTCATTATGCGCTTCTCTGCCCCAGCGAGCAAGGTGCTTAATGTAATAACACAGGAGCCGTCATGTGACTGGCCTGTCATGAGGAAGGCATGTCACAGTTGTGCTTATTCTGTGTGTCAAGCCATATTTCCCCCTTTCCACGTCCAGATGGATCCAAAGGTGTTTTTCTTGTGCTTTTCCACCGCCTCGGCACTGATTTCAGGGCTGTTATTCTCGGCTCCCTGGAGCGGCCATAAAATCCGAGCCCATCTGTTTGCGTTGTGTTTCCTCCTTTCAGTGAGGGACTTGATGGAAAAACTCCCTTTGTTAAATACCACTTGACTATTCAACCCTCTGTGTCTTTGCTAAGGGAAACTCATACTCAAGTGTGTTGTGTCAAAGCAAACAACGCCTTCCCCCCCCCCAAATAAAAAACTCTACCAAGTCCAACCTTTGGACATCTGCAGAGCATGAACTCTTCTTAGACAGCTGGCATAGAAATCAGCCCGAGAGGAATCCAGTTTGGACTAACTTTTGGAACAGGACTTCGGTCTCAGCATTGCCAGGTGCCGCCAAGGCCTCCACAGTTTGTACATTAGGGATGTAAGCAACTAGTCGACTATCTGATAAGCTTATGCTAGTGACTAGTGATGCAACTAGTCCCCCCTTGCTGCCTCTATCAGAGAGGCAGCAAGGGGGGAGAGCAGGAGCCGGATTAAAAGCCGGTTCCCCCCAGCACCATCTCTGCGGCGGGCTGGAGAGGTAGAGGCACAGCGGGAAACGGCACGAGCGGGGACTGAAGCAGTCTCTGCTTGCACCACTTCTGCTGTGATTCTGCTTTTGAAATGTGCAAGAGCCCCAGTGGGAGCACCGGCCCTATGCTCCCTGACGCACCTCAGCCTTTGAAATGGAAATCTCACTGACTATTAGATTAGTTAATTAATCTAAATGTAACATCCCTATTGTATATTACAGGGTGCTCCATCCAGGGCCATGTGTGAACCTCAGCTGTAAGACTGAGAGACAGCCGCTCTGAAGAGACGGAAGAATCTTTCCTCCTACTGGCCCTGCAACTACAGCCAGAAAGGCGATTTTTCCCAGCTTCCAATGCCACGTGAACCAACGACACATCGGTTTATTTAGGCTGCCTGTACATTCAGCATCTTGTGAAGTGGGGTCCTAATGTAGTGGAGGCAGCTCGGCCCTGCCACGATATCAGTATTCAATAAATAACAACAAAAAAACTACTATGCCACCAAGCACAGGAAATCCAAGAAGACACCATGTGGGGGAACCTTTTTTGGGTCAGGGGCCACTGACCCATAGAAAAATCAGTCCGAAGCCACACACAAGTAAGAAGCAAAACCAAAAAACTAAACCCTCACTGACGTGGCCCCCAACTGAGAAGCAGAACGACCCTCCCCACATTCCTCTCACACAGCACAGCCTAGGAGGGTCCGGGCTAGTAGATTTTGTGTGCTCCAGCCTTGCGATGCAGCAGCAGGGGCTGGAGTGCCAGCACAGGCTCCCCAATGCTGAGGGAAGCCCTGAGCCTTGGAGACCGGATCCAGGCAAGCCAGGGGTCACATCCAGCCCCCGGGCCCGAAGTTCCTCTCCCCTGCAATAGATGTTAGAAACAGAGAGTTTGCAGTCCCCATTTGGACCACTGGTCCATCTAATCCAGCAATATCCAATACCTGATGCCTCGGACCAATTGTGGCCCAACCATGGCTGTGGGTGAAGTACACAGGTGCCACCTATAGAATATAGGCTCCCGAATGCAACTCTAGCAGCCTGTTACAGTCTGTTTCCATGTCTCCCTCAAGTGGAGGGCCCTGCTATTTGCAACTAACAGTGTGCCTGTGTAACCCACACACCAAGGCTACATCTACATTGCGCATTTTTGCGCAAGAAGTTATGCAAATGAGGCGCGGCAATGAATATCGCCACACCGCATTTGCGTACCTCATGAGCCGCCATTTTTGCACAATGGGCTTTTGCATAAGAAGGAGCAGTCTACAGCAAGAGCCGTTCTTCCTGAAAAAAAGCAGCAGAACAGCTCTTCTTCAAGAGGAGGGTTTTTCACAGAAAGGAGCTGTGTAGACAGCTCCTTTTTGCGCAACAGCCCCTTGCACAAAAATGGTGGCTCATTAAGTATGCAAATGAGGCATAGCAATATTCACCGCTTCGCCTCATTTGCATAGTTTCTTGTGCAAGAAAAGGCAGTGTAGACGTAGCCTCCGGGTAGTACAGCCCAGTGGCCTCAGTCAATACATCCACCCCCTGTACTAAGGGTATTACAGCCCAGCAGCCTCAGTCAATACGTAATAGGAAAAGCTCCCTCCATTTGGGGGTATCTAAGGAGGGAATAGGGGGACCCAGGCTCTTTCTGTCCACCAGGTCCCAGCCCAGGGCCCTGTTGGCAGTGGTGTGGACCATTGCTCGCTCAGCAGGGAATCAGCTGAGTGCATGGGGAGCAATTCCCGCCCTGGGCGACTTCCTTCTGGTACTTGGCAGATGCCTTCTCTGTATGTATGCTCACTCTCAGCCCTCAGCTTCTCTGGTAGCTGCTCTCAGCCCGGCTGTTGCACCGTGGTCCACCTCTTCCTCCCCTGGAGCTCCCTCCGCACCCCGGCACTCAGTCCTGACTGTGCTGCTCCAGAAAGTTTTATAGCTAGTCTCCAGTTGGAGCATGCCCAGTAGGGCTGGGGGGCAGGGCCCTCTCAGCCAGCTAGGCTGGGCCGAGGGGGAGGGGGGTGACTCCTTCAGCTCCCCTGCAGGGCTGATACACCCAGTCACAGATGGGAAGGCAACAGGGAAAGGCTCCACCAGTAGATCCCTGCACGGATAAAAAACTTGTATCTGCATTACAAAAACGAGCCTTGGATATCCACAGCCACATCCGCAGATGCAGATCCCCGCAGATATAAAATGGATTTCCATGGACTTGCAGGGCTCTAGTCATCAGCTGCCAGAGTCTTTCCTGCTCCCTCCATCCTGGCATTGCTTTTCCCTGCTTTGTGTAGCCACACACCACAGCATGGACACAGCTTGCGTTTCACTCCGCTGTGTGGCCAGAGGTGCACTCCACCCAGGGCCCGTGCAGTACCACGTAGAAGTAACCTAACACATTTGCTTCTGTAGCTCACATGGCGAGGGTGGTGGGAGAGTGATTTAAGAAAATGGCTAAAATTACCTCTTTGATGTTTCAGGCCGGGCAGGGGCAAGGTAGGCACGAAGGGTGTGCAGTGATGCCCTTACGTTACATTGGGCTTAGTCTAGGAAAGTACATCAAGGTGTAACCAAAATGAATTACTGTTTGCTACTAACGGTCGCTGAATGTCTTCAGTCAATCCACATGGGAAGTAGCCCAGGATGGCTCGGTGCAGATGTTTGCAGGCTACAGTTTCCATGCCTGATCTGTTACAGAGCATTACCAGCCGGCAGACAGCACACACCTTGGTGGAGGTCGTCGTACGGCCAGGTCTTCTTACTGGAGGGAAGGGGTGAGCAAATGTGTTATTCCTTATCTGAGAAGTGTGCACCTGCCTCATTCCCCAAAGGGTCAATTCCATTTACCCGTGTTTACCCTCAAGCATGCCCCTGGGTAAGGCTTGTCCTGAAGAACATAAGAATGGCCATACTGGGTCCATCTAGCCCATTAGCCTGTCTGCCGACAGTGGCCAGCACCAGGTGCCCCAGAGAGGGTGGACCGAAGACAATGATCAAGCGATTTGTCTCCTGCCATCTCTCTCCAGCCTCTGACAAACAGAGGGCAAGGACACCATTTTATCCCCTGACTAATAGCCTTTTATGAACCTAACCTCCATGAAATTATCTAGCTTCTCTGTAAACTCTGTTATAGTCCTAGCCTTCACAGCCTCCTCTGGCAAGGAGTTCCACAGGTTGACTACACGCTGTGTGAAGAAGAACTTTCTTTTATTAGTTTTAAACCTGCTACCCATTAATTTCATTTGGTGTCCTCTAGTTCTTCTATTTAGGGAACTAATAAATAACTTTTCTTTATCGGCCCTCTCCACACCACTCATGATTTTGTATACCTCTATCATATCCCCCCTCAGTCTCCTCTTTTCTAAGCTGAAAAGTCCCAATTGCTTTAACCTCTCCTCATATGGGACCCGTTCCAAACCCCTAATCATTTTAGTTGCCCTTTAGTTGCCATGAAGGCCCCTTGTTCAATCCCGTGGATGGCTACTGGTGTCTGAGAGCAGGCAGCCACGTTGGGCTACAGAATGCTCCATCTGTCCGCCTGGAAATAAGCATCGCTTGCTGGGATCTATATTTACCACAGGCTGCCGCTCTGCTTGAAAGCCACAGTGACTGCAGTCTGCTAAATTTCACACAACTGAGCAGGGCTTCCAGTAAGTTACTCCAGGGCCTGTATCTGGACCAAGTGGGGGCAACTCTGCTTCTGAGGAAGGCCACCATGTTGTCCCAAAGCAAGTGCACAAGGCCCTATAAGGCACAGAAAGGTCCCTCCCCCCATGCATGAGAAAGTGGTTCCAGGCATCAAGTTCTGCCCCCATCTCAGAAGTCCGGCAAGCGGAAGGACTAATTTGCCTTTGTGTCTCTGGTACTGTGGTGTCGCCTGCTGCTGCTGATGACAAACCCCACCGGTATTTCCTGGTGTTTGCTAAAACTAGGCCTGACTTGGAGACGGGTTTGAAAACCCTTTGCATGCTGGGAAGTCAGGATGGAGTGCCGAACTCCAGAGCTTGGACCAAGTGTCCCTTCTGCCTCCTGCCACAGAGTCGCTTGCTGCCACTGGAGCCGTCCTAAGGTGGGGCTCACCTTTGCTTCACCCGCTCAAGTGCCCAGCAGAGAGCAGCTGTTCTCTCGCCGCCAGTCCCTCGTCTCCCTCTTATCGAGGGGGGAAAGTCTGATGAATAACTAGGGAACCGAAGGCTCCATCCTGCAGATTAGAACAAGCCTTTAAGGAAGCAGCACTGAAATAATCACACATCTGCAACGTGCCCAGCTCTCCCTTGGAGTAATGGGGGGGGGGTGACCGTGGGATCGCCCGGGGGATTCTGTCAGCCCCACCCTCCTGGCGGTTGCCCTGAAGTCAGGGAATGAGCCCAGCCCAGCCTCCATTTCCAGGCAGACTGGATCTGGATTTGCTGGGAGCAGCAATGACTTGGAGCATTCTGATTCTCACTCCCCTCCCCTTGCCAGCAATTAAGCCCTCCTGGAGCAGTATTGCACCCGAACAATTCTCCACATGAACTATAGCCCCCTCCCGTGGGCGAGCCCCGGTGTATCTGACTTCCCTAAGGGAGAGTGTTGCTCCCTTAGATGCATTAACTTCACGGGGCTTTGGTTCTGGGAGATCTGCGGACATGACAGCTCCCTCATGGACCACACCCCATGACTACTGCGTTCATTCTTTCATAACTGCCAGGCCCAGGCGAATAGCAGCGGGCTGCTGAGTCAGAACGCCCCAAGGACCGTGGGATTAGAAACCACTGAGTTTCCTGCACATCCCTCTGCAGCACTAGCAGGGAGGATGCAGGGATTGGGGCGTAGAGCCAAGAAGGCCGAGTGTTGCTGGAGTACTCCTGATGGTCAATGCTCCCAAAGCACAGGAAGAGACTCCAGGAATTCTGACCACGTAGAATCATAGAGCTGGAAGAGACCTCAGAAGGTCGTCAAGTCCAGCCCCCTGCTCTAGGCAGGACCAATTCCAACTAAATCAACCTGGCCAGGGCTTTGTCAAGCCGAGACTTAAACACCTCTAGGGATGGAGACTCCACTACTTCCCTAGGTAACCCATTCCAGTACTTCACTACCCTCCTAGGGAAATAGTTTTTCCTAATATCCAACCTGGACCTCTCCCACCACAACTTGAGACCATTGCTCCTTGTTCTGCCATCTGTCACTACTGAGAATAGCCTCTCTCCATCCTCTTTGGAAGCTCCCTTCAGGAAGCTGAAGGCTGCTATCAAATCCCCCCTCACTCTTCGCTTCTGCAGACTAAACAGACCCAAGTCCCTCAGCCTCTCCTCATAAGTCATATGCTCCAGCCCCCTAATCATTTTGGTTGCCCTCCGCTGGACCCTCTCCAATGCGTCCACATCCTTTTTGTAGTGGGGGGCCCAGAACTGGACACAATACTCCAGATGCGGCCTCACCAAAGCCGAATAAAGGGGAATGATGACATCTCTGGATCTGCTGGCAATGCTCCTCTTAATGCAACCTAAGATGCCATTAGCCTTCTTGGCTACAAAGGCACACTGTTCACTCATCTCTAGCTTCTCATCCACTGTAACCCCCAAGTCCTTTTCTGCAGAACTACTACTTAACTGGTTGGTCCCCAGCTTGTAACTATGCTTGGGATTCTTCCGTCCCAAGTGCAGGACTCTACACTTGTCCTTGTTGAACCTCATCAGATTTCTTGTGGCCCAATCCTCCAAGTCATTCTGTCTAAGTCATTCTGTACCCAATCTCTGCCCTTAAGCGTATCTACGGGCCGCCGCCATTTTTAAAGCCCCGCTAGTTCGGACTCCGTGCCCGCGGCTACACGCGGCACGGAGTAGGTAGTTTGGATTAGGCTTCCTATTTTTTGTTGCTCTTCTCTGGACCTTCTCCAATTTCTCCACATCTTTCTTGAAATGTGGTGCCCAGAACTGGACACAATACTCCAATTAAGGCCTAATCAGCACAGAGTAGAGCAGGAAAATGACTTCTTGTGTCTTGCTCATAGCACTCCTTAAAAATAGAGAGAGGTGCTGAGTATTTACAATAATCATCACCATTCAAACAGGGGCTGCAGGGCTGTGGCCCCAAACCTCTGCAAATGGGGATGTTTTTCTAGTGCAGCATCTCATCAGAGTCCCAGGGATTTGTGGCGCAGGGGCATTGTTCCTCGTAAGCTGGGCACTTGTGCAGCCACTAAGGAGAGATTCAAATGCCATCCAACTGATTAGCAGAGCGCCCACAGGCAGGTTTTTGTTTCTACTAGTGGTGCACGTCTGCACATACCTCGGTGCACGTAGAAAATTATTCCACATGTAGATGGAAAAGATGAGAGGGAACATTGCTCAGGGGTGGTTTCTTTTGCTGGGTGCAGAAGATTGTAGTTCCCCCTCTGTGGGAGGTCAGCCAGGAATAAGCTGGGAAAAGAGCAGACCCATTCTACTGTGTCAAGAGCTCTCTTACTTTGCCCTGAGAAAGGGACCCGCACCTCCACCATAACCTGCCTGCTTCTACAGGTGCCCTCAGGGCCCTACAACAAATGCCAAACACCAGTGCCCCTGCTCCATTGCTCCCCTTCCCTGTCTCCCCCTTTTCCGTTCCTCACACCCACTCACCATTTCAATGCTAACACCTCTCCTGGCCCGACAAGTGTCACCGCCAGCCAGAGCTGCCGTCTCTGAGTGGGGAAGAGGGCGTAGGCGGGACAGGCCTCAGGTCGGCCTGTATTCAACTAGGTGTCAGGTTACCACTTACGGGGCCTATTTCTGCCTGACTGTCTGATCCCCACCGCCCCCTTTCCGCTTGTGTTACTGTGCTAAGCTTGGCTTGTGCTAGTTTCTCTCCCCACCTAAGCTCCTTAAGTCACTGATCCAGTTAAACCTTAGAAATCACTTTGTTTTGCCCTGAAAATTAATGTCGCTATTTCCTTGGCCTTTCTGCTCCTGGCACCCACCCTGGGTTAGCCACTTCGGCATTCGACGGACCAGCCACGCGACTCCTGTGGAGCACTGAGCTCATGGGATAGTTAGTTATATGGATGCTGCTGAGCCACTTGGGGGGGCATGGACCGTCCAGTCTCACACTAATGGGGCGGCTATGGAAAGACCCCAGTGCTGGGATACAGTGCGGCCTGTGTAGCCCATGCTGACTATGGGCAGCATCCTGGTCCCTCTGTGGGTGGCTGGGTCATTTAGCTCCAGCAGAAGAGGCTGATGTATTTAGCTCAGCAGATGCCAGCACCCCCCAAAACACCCACAGAGCCAGAGCCAACAAGCATGTCCCCCCACCTCTACCCACACATCTAGCCTCTTGGCTGAGAAAGCCTCACGGCTTCATTATGGGTATGTCTATACTTGCAGCCTAATTCGAACTAGGACTGCAAATGTAGGCAAACTACCTGTTATTCCTCCTGCAATGAGGTTTAACAAGTACTTCAAACTAGAGCTTTATTTTGAACGCCCGTTTCACTGCCACGTGTAGACGTGGGCAGTTACTTTGGGCTTGTAAATTTCAAAAATGGCACTCGGCCAGGAAGATGCAAATCAAGCGCAGGATATTTAAATCCCAGGCTTGATTTGCAATTCCGAATGCCTACATTTGCAGCCCTAGTTCAAATTAGGCTGCAAGTGTAGACATACCCTATGTTAGTGCCACTCGCAATGAGACACACAGACATGCCCCCATCCAGGAAGGTGTGGGTGTGGTCAGGGAATGGCTCCACCCCTCAGTCACCTGCCTTTTCAGCTCGCTCCCCAGGGGGGGTATCCCAGAATGCCTTGTGCCTGCCTCAGCTGTTTGCTATTGGCACAGTATGCCTTCCTCCCCTGCCTGGCTGTGGTTATCAATCTGACACCACATTGGTGGGGAGGGAGCGGAGAAACTGGCAGAATTTGGCTGTTGCCTTCTCCCCTCACATTGTGTTTTGGAAAAAAAAGAGTTCCCCCCATAATTAGAACAAGTTCTTTAAGGGAAATGCCCCAATTAAAACCCCACATCCCTCCTGCTAAGTGTAGATTTGAGACCCCATATTCTTGTGGCCTTATTTCCAAGAAACCTGGGCAAGATGAGGGGATGTTGACCCCATAAGAGCCCAGCATGAAGCAATCCCAGAGAATTCCCAAACATAGAGGTGAGTCCTAGTCCCAATCTGGACTTTTCCGAGGGCTCAAAGAGAACTCATTCTTGTCCCCTGTCCTGGCTAGTCGGCTTAATGCTCTTGAGCGCATCCCTTAGAATAGCGGCTGCACACAGCCGGCAGGCGCAGCAAGCTCATCGTGCACCATCTGGCTGCCCACATCTGATCGCACTCCATCCCTCCCGCTGCGGCCAGACAGGCTCAGAGCGGTTTTACATTACGGACGTTAATGCCTCTTGGCAGGAACTGCTGCCTCCTACAGAGGAAGCGTTTCTGTCAAGAGCCCTGGACAGCCTCAGAGACAGTTCTGAAGCACGGACCAGAGCGAGTCACATGCGCCCGCGCCCCACG